TTCCAGTGGAACTCTGTCGGGATATTCTTTGTATCGTTTGTGCCCAGCTGCTTAGTAGGAAGGAATAGAAAAGACAGAATTGAACTCCAGTCACTGTACAGTGATAATATGAGACGGGACAGAAGCTGCTATGTGAGAAATTCTGATTAAACATAGGTTTTCTTTCTTCTGTGTGGTTCAGCATTGTAATAGGTTGTTGTATCTGCATCTGGACAAGGCCCTGGGCAAATCTGGTTTCATTCCTCTCTGTGGGCAGTTGGGTGAACTCCAGAGAGCCCTTTCAACTTAAAATAATCTACACTCCTTAAAAGCAAGTATAGGCAACTTCAAAAATTACTGCTCTGTCTTAGGTTTTAATTCATCTAAGATTTCTTAGGGCTTATCTTTGTTTTTTTCCTGTAATTGTCAACAATAATCTTAAATTTTTCTGATTCTTAACTATTAAAAAGCTATTCCTCCATTCATCACAACACTGGGTTTTGTTTTTTTTTTTACCAGCACTGTGAGCTGTGTCACAGTCCATTCCATGTAGGAACAAACTTCTTAAACAAACTTAACCATATTTTGCCACATAAGAGAAACCATAACTGACAGTATAATTGCATTTGTATCAGCCTGCAGACTAAACTGGCCATCTGTTTCTACACGCATCATCTATTTACGTCCCTGATTTATTTTTTCATAGCATCCAATGTGGAAGATGTTTTGTTGTCTGATGCTCTGTGAAGTCTGCTGTATTTATTAATTTCAGAATTTGTATTTCTGTATTCCAAAATTGCAGTGAAGCAGGACTTCAACATTTGCCAGAGGATTAAATGAACAGGAGGGAGAAACAGGATTTGTTGGACTTTCATGCTCTATCACGTTCAATAAACTTAACAATAAACATTTCTGAAAATCCACACTTAAACTGTTTTTATATTAAGGTTATATTAAACTGCTATGTTTCTCTTACACATCTGAACAAACTATTAGACACTTGAATTGGACCAATGTGGTTTTTAACATGACAGTAAGCTTCTACCTGAGGCTCCTTAATGTAAAGATAGCCAACTCCTAACACTGGTTTCCAGTCTGAACTAAAATGGGGAAGTCTTTCACTAATTGTCACGTAGCTGTAACCATTTAAAATTCTTTGCCCTTCAGGACTATTTAGTCTTGAAAGCAGCATGCAAGGGATGATCTCAATCATATTTATATCTTCCATACTCAGACTAAATCTGTATTGGGTATTTTAGTAATACCAGATGGTTTTGCATAGCTTTTGCTGTAAAATGAAAAGTAATGGCAGTAGACAGGCAGGAACCTTCTTCTGGCAGTATTTCAGCTGACCTATCTGTGCCATTTCTCCCAGAACTCCATTTATGGGGAAAATGGATTCCCTCCTGTTCTCGGTTGTGCATTCCCGCTCCAGCGTGAGCTCAACCCGCTCTGTATCTCCAGCATGGAGCCAGCCGTGTACTTCGGAAAGCATGGGGAGTAAACGTAGGTGGTAGCAATGGACAAGCACACTGCGGCTTCAGGCTCTGAATTTCCCAAATTACAGCAGAATTGGCTGCTGAAGAGGAAAGTCGCTTCTGAGGTTGATGCTTGCTTATCACTGAAGCAGGTCCTGTTACAGCAATGTGGAGCAGCATTTGACATGCACTGACTTTTAGATAGTCAAAGTCAAAAGCACGGTGTGCTCTTATTTTATGTCTTTATTTTTGGCAGGCAGCCACGTACTTTCTCTGTCAGAATAAAGGCAGAGGCTGTGCGTGCACCTGGAATTGCGTCTAATTCAGTTCTCAATGTGCTGCTTAGTTTCAAGCTAAACCTTTCCCATAAGGTGACCAGACATTGCATATAGAAAGGTCATCCCCTCCTTTCTCTTTACAGCAAACAGAAATGCATTTCAGAACAAGTCTATCTCATTTGCTAATTCATTTTATTTTTCTCAAGCTGCGTAAGCATTTACTTAATAGCATGCTCTTTATTACTGGGAAGGGAGTAAAGAAACAAATAAAATAAAACAAAAATTTGTTCACCCTCGAAGTGAAAGCTCCGAGGAGACCTTATAGAGAGTGGCGGCCTTCTGATACCTAAAGGGGGCCTACAGGAGAGCTGGGGAAGGACTTTTTACTAGGGCATGTAGTAATAGGATGAGGGGGAATGACTTCAAACTGGAAGAAGGTGGATTTAGATTAGATATTAGGAAGAAATTTTTCATTCTGAGGGTGGTAAAGCACTGGAACAGGTTTCCCAGAGAAGTTGTTGAGGCCCCATCCCTGGAGGTGTTTAAGGCCAGGCTGGACATGGCCTTGGGCAACCTGGTCTAGTGGGAGGTGTCCCTGTCTATGGCAGGGGGGTTGGAACTAGATGATCTTCAAGGTCCCTTCCAACCTAAACCATTCTGTGATATGATTCTGTGAATATGGAATCCTGTGTTTCTGAAGAAATCTGCGCTGAGACTGCTGGTTGTGAAGATGCAAGTAGGCTGGCTGGTTGTTGTGTGTTTAGTCTGGAGAAGGGAGCGAGTTTTGGGTGGAGAATTTAGAGAACATCTCCTTAATTTGCTTCTAGAGAGGTATTTTTCGCTTAAAAAAAAAAAAAGCCTTAAATGTTAGGAGGCTTGGAAACAATATATTAAAAAAAAAAAATTAATTTTCTTACTTGCACTTCAGATTCTGTTTTGGGAGTTCTTGAAATGTTAAGCCTATTCCTATGTGTACTGTACAATAGTGCTCTATACACGAGTGATCCTAGGTTTCTAAGCCTTCTACTTACAGCACTAATGAAATTATTATTTTTCTTTCTCCCCCTTCTCCTTTTTTTAAAGGGAGGCAGAGCCCAAGCATAAAGAAGTAATGCCAGTTTGTAGCTGATGTAGCAGATAGAGATAATGGGTTAATGTTGGCTTTTTATTTTTTTGAGGGCAATGCAAGCACTTTTTAAGTTTAGCAGCTTTTTAGGGAGGATGATTTTAAAAAAGGACCAAACAACCCCAAACAAAAACAACCTGTCCTGAAAAAAAAAAAAAAGGCGATTGTTTTGTATTGCTTCAGCTTCCTCTTTCTCTTTAGAGAACATCCTGGCCAACATTTTGTTATGCTCACATGTGACTTGACAGGAGCACCTAGTTGTTTTCTGATGTACGTGGTGTGTCTATGAGGTGCAGGGTGCATATGGTGGGGCTCTGGATTCCAGATGAGAAGACCCTTGTAAACACCTGTCTTTAGTGGAGACAAACTTGTATTAACCTGTTAGCTTTATATATCCAACATAGTAAAAAAATGTAGTTAATGAAAGAGAATTTAATCTTTAAAGTTATATTTATTTTAGATGGTCTACTGCTCTGGCTTCAGGTTAGTGCCCCTAGAATGTGACCTTCTTAAGCCCTTAGGCTGATAAAGATGTCACCATGATTACAGTAGGCTTATATTTATTCTTCCAGATAAGAAAGGAAGAAATAATTTCATGTCCCTCTATCCATCCCTGCAGTTGCAAGCAGTAGCTTAATAGCTGCCGCAGTATCTCTTTTCCCTAAATAGCCCATAATCTGCAGGAAAGTTTTGTAATATCCTCAGGGGCAGTGATCCTTCAAATTATAAAATAACTAAGACATTGTCATGCCTGCATCTTGTTATCTTGAGCAAGTGGTTCGTGAACAACCTGTTCCTTCGTTTTGGACAGAAACAAATTGAAAGTTGAGCTGTTTATATCCTTGTACGTACAACAATAGAGGTATGACTTCTTGGAGTAAATTGCAAACTTGTTAATAATAAAACCATGTCACCACATCTCATTAACCCTGGCATTGTATTATTGTTGTCAGAACTATGATTAGTACCAGAATTTTTCGGCTCTAGCTCACTTTCCATTCATGGTAAAAGCAAAACTGGAGGTGAGCTGTCTCCTTCGCATTGACCATCCCTCCCACTGCATCTACCCACAGCTAACCCACAGTGCTCCTCACGCTGCTGGAGCGGTGGGTGGGAGCGTGGGGATGGGTTCCCCTCTGCCTGCTGGGCATGAGCCTGCACACCCAACTGTGACTACACTTCCGTCATCCTTCATTCATCTGATTTAAAAGCAACATTCTCCAAAGGTTTATAAAGCTGGAGTGAGGCATTTAAAATTTACTGTGTTATATGGATGCATAAGTTACGGTGCTTGGGTATCTATTTTTCACCTCAAACTTCCAGTGGCTGTTACTCAGTTAAATTTGCTGATGTGTTGATATATTGTGTGAATACCTGGCCTTTACTCTGCACTGTTTTTTATATTCTCTCATATTTCCTCTGCATTATGAATTGGACATCTGCCCTTTTAATCTTTTCACAGCGAAACCCTTTGCATATCATTTATGGTCATTGCTTTTGCTAACTGTGCCGTCTCTCTTTCTCCTCTGAAAGAAAGCTGGTATTAGTCTAGCTGAAGCATAATTGTAAAGGGTATGTTCTGCTCTCAATCACTATCAGGCATCCACAAATCACTTGGATGTTTTCTTTATTCCTATCAGATGTCCAGGTTAGTGCGTATAAATGTGGGATTTGTTTATTTCTTGACCTGCTGTATTTTGCCAAGTCATATACTGCAAATCACTTGGTTCTGACAGCTGGATTAAATGTCCTTTAACTTGAGGTCTTATGGCCTCTCTTGCTGTGGTTTCACAGCCACAGACCTAAGGAAGGGCTGCAAAGAATCTGCTGCTTCACTTGTGTGAAGCTTGTAGAGTGAGCTGGGCTGGGGAGACAAGTCACCATAAAAATACTTGGTTTTGGCTAAGGCTAATTTTCTGCCTGCTAGCTGAACCCCACCGACAGGCTTGTGTAAACACTGTCGCTTATGTAGGTACAACAGAAAGGTGAGTGGACCCCAAAATACTGTCCTGATGTCAACTTAGTCAAATGCTTAATCTTTTGCTTTCGTTGTGGATTGTAGATTATAAAGGCAGCAGTGAGATCATTCATGCAGCATATTTCTTGAAGCTGACTGTAGTCATATTGCTCTGTACACAGATGGGCTTGGGCCATGAGCAAGGATTTGGTGCCCCCTGCTTAAAGTGCAAGGATAAGTGTGAAGGATTTGAGCTTCATTTCTGGAGGTAAGTGACACCAGATGTCTCTTAAGCTGTGACTCAGCACTGCAGATTTTAATGTATGTATGCAAATGTGTAAGTAACAAACTTCTGTTCCTTCTTTCAATTAAACTATTTGGATGCTTTAAAGAAGCTGTGTCTAGGTTCAGGGCCAGGGCTTCTCAGCTGCATTACAGAAGAGTGTTTAAGTATGTAATCACTTATGAACGTGCATTCCATCTGCACTGAAGTCAATGGAAGTACTTCTACTGAAGCATTTGCTTTAGCTTAATAAACAGTTGAAGTAGGTTTGTAAAAACATCTCTATCCCTACAGTAAGAGAGATGACAGGAAAGAAGTGTGCTTTATCTCAGTAATAAAATGCTTTCTCAGCTCCTGACCAAACACGTAAGCTTTGATCTGAGATTTTAAGTAACATTATCTGTTGAAAAAATGTTGAAACTTTGTATACATCTACAGATGACTGAGGGGGAAAGACATGTCATGATTTAAATAAGTTAGATAGTACTTGGCCTTGGATGATGCACTGTTCCTAAACCGGTAAGTGATGATAGTGGCAGTAAATAGTCTATGCTGTGTTCTGTGCCATTACTTCTGCAGAAGCTTTGTATTCCATTAAGACCTTTTTTGTTTAACTGAAACAAGATGTATATCTGTATATTTATGTATCTAGCTAGCCCAGTTCACTGGTTATACTGAGTGGACTTTAAGATATAGCTTAGTGATTCTGACTTTTTAAAAAGTTCTGTCTCAAAGGACATAAATTCATGTCCTTGAAAGGACATAAAAATGAATAATTGTTAGTAGTACTAGCACATGCTAGCAATGAAAACAATTGCGTTTCACCAATGCTATTTAGCTACAGTCATAACTGTATCTGCAGTAGGGTTTTATTTTGTTTTTTTAATGTAGTCGTACATTGTATGTAGTACATACGAGCCATAGTGGCATCAGGTGCAGATAAGGCCTACAAGATTTTAATTCTTTGCTCAAGCATTTGACTGCAGCTGAGACTCAGTTTAGACAATAACCAAACAGACCACAGCAAAACCTTGCTGTAAGTTGATGAGGATATAGCTTCTCTGTGATGATCTATAATATGTAGCTGCAGAAACAACTTACAAATAATGACATGGAGCAAGAAGTGGTAATACATTAATGAATAAACATGATCATCTAAACATAAAACAAATTATTAATTTATGAAAAGATACTCGTGTAGAGGTACTAAACTACAACAGAACACAAGTTAATGTGTATAGGTAATTCATTAAAACAGAACAAAACAATTGTAGGAGTAAATAGTGTTGGTTTATTCATGGTTAAATGAGAAATTATTTCACTTCCTACTTGAGAAAGCTGTTTGTTCCTAGTGTGATAGGGAAATCACAAGTGGGGGAGGAAAAAAAAGATTAGTCCAGTTAACTTTTTTCTCAACTCCTCCTTTTCATCCTTTTTCTTAGTTGCCATGGTTAGACCTTGTAATTCCTAGCTTATTCTTTAACAGGGAAGAACTTGGGATAAAAAGAAATAAATTGCCTCAAGTGATATAGTCACATGATAGCATGATTACCAAGTTAGAATGTGTCTCCTTCTGTGTGTGTATTTGGAGATATTTGTGTGTGTTTTTCTTTATACACATTTCACTATGCTCCTGTGGTTAGGGCTCATTGTGCCAGGTCCCGAATATGTAGCTTGTCAGAGCACTGTCTCCTAGAAAGCAAGAGTTTGTAGACAGCAGTGGTTTAAAGAGCAAGTACAAAAAAAAAAAAAAAAGGCATAAAACCAGTGGCTATTTAGCTAAGATTAAGATAGAATTTGGAAATTGAATCTATATAGGATAGACCAGGTAAATGAGGTGGCTGGAATTAGTCTGAGAAACATCATCCAGATGTCAGACAAATGTGGCACATGCTTCTGAAACAGTTGAAAAGTTAGCCATTGAGGCAATTTAAGAATGGATTAGAAAAATAGCTGTTTCTCCAGCAGAGCTGTTACTGGGGACAGTAAGGGTGTGAATCTGAAGTCAGAAATCAGTTTTCAAAGGAAAAATATATTAACATGCTTTGCATGAGATTTTGGGAGTCCACCACTTGAACAGAAAGGGATGGATCCCAAATACTTGGTCATTTAGTCACGTTAGCCTTAAACTCTCAAACTCTTTTTTAAGTAGAAGAAAACTGTAGCACAAGTGGACAGAATATTGTATTTATAACATGAATGATCAAAATCAGTCCAAATTTAATCACTAATTTCACTATTGCTCACCTGTAAAAGCTAAGTGTTGAAGTAGGGATTGTAGTTAGAGAAACTGTTACAAGTTGAGGGGAAGAGTAACTGGTGGGTTGACCCCAGCCAGCAGCCAAGCACCCACACAGCTGCTCACTCCCTGTCCACTCACAGCAGGGTGGGGGAGCAAAAGGAGTGAAAAGGAAGAACAAAAGTGAGAAAACTCATAGGTTGAAATAAAGTCAGTTTAATAGGTGAAGGAAGGTAGGGTGGGGGGGTGGAGCAAGTGATGCAAAGGCAATCACTCACCACCTCCTACCAGCAGATAGATGCCCAGGCAGTCTCCAAGCAGTGTCTGCTTTGATAGTCAGAAACCCTGCCCTCTTCATCCCCTGTCTTATTGCTGATCATGCCATTATATAGTATGAAGTATCCCTCTGACCAATTTGAGCTGGCTGTGCCCCCTCCCAGCTTCTTGCCTACCCCAAGCTTACTTGCTGAGGTGGGGACAGCGTCCAAAAAAAAGAAGCAACCTTTACACTGTGCCAGAAGTGCTCAGCAATAGCAGGTGCTATCAACGCTGGTTTAGCCACAAATCCAAAGCACAGCACCATACGGGTGTTATGTAGAAAGTCACCTCCATAGCAGCCAGATCCAGTACAGTAAGTGAGGCAGCAGTTTGCAGGTGGCAGTCCTTGCTGTGGTCTGCGTAAGGGGGACACTGCCCTCTCCTGGGTGGAGCTGAGGAGCTTCAGCACATCATGTAATTCTTAGCCCGATACAGGGAAGCTCCGATGCATCTCAAAGAGCTACGATGCAATTTATTTCTGTGCAAAAGAGCCTCAATTCTGCCTTCGGGGAGTCAGATTGGAAAGTGCATGAAAAAAATCCAAGTACATCTATGTAGCAGCAGGGTTTTACGTGGAGTTGCTACACTGTTCTCTATACCGGTAGAGTTTGGAAAATACCTCTTCTGAGGTGGCAACTGCTTTTTCAGCACTTTGTGCTGTAATTCTTGGCACAGCGTGTGGGATGGTTATAAAGGTGCAGAACTGTTAATTTAGGCTGGTGTAGAAATGGTGGTAAACAAAGCCCTTAGTAAAATTTGTTCCTAAATTTTGGAGTTCTGAAAGCCTCAGTGTTGTGAGCTGAACAGAAAATGAATACAATGAGAGCCACAGTCTGTAACAGTAGCTGAACAGTGAATAATTACCTGCTTTCTCTTAGTGTGTTAATAACTTTTGCTTTTAAATTGGTCCTCAGAATCATGCTTCCATCCAAGTGTTGCAGCAGCAGTGCGCAGGGTCTTCTCAGTGCAGCTGTTAAACTTCTTTCAGACTCCAAAACTGCCCTTGCAAAATTAGCAGGGCAGGCTGGCCATCAAAGACTGCCAGTCGGATAAATGTTTGCTCTCTGGGGATGCATTTCCCACTAGAGGGAGGTGTGGGATGGGAGTCAGAAGTTGCTAAAAGCAGGAGGGAAGGTTCTGATTTATCTTGGTTGTGTATATACCGGAAAGTGGTAATTGTCTCCAGTGTGGCTTGCCAAGATATTAAAAAGCTTCTGGAGACAAGAATCTTAAGCTTGGGAACAACCGTTTTCAGCATCTGGCTTCTCCGTACAGATACAATCCCTGGAAGGCAGGGAGAGTTTTAAGTTGGCTTTAGCGTCTTCTGATGCTACTGCTGACAGGCAAGTACCGAGGCATAGTTCAAAGCATTTGCAATTACTGTAGCTGCATTAATAGCAAGAAAATCTAACAGAAGGAAACATAGGAAGAGGTTATTCTTTCTGCATGGAGGACACAAGCCTCAGGACTTTCCAGGTATTTGTTGAGGGCTTCTCTGTACTTGCAGCTGCCACCTCCTGTCACTAGGAGCCACTGCAGAGCTGGTGTAGGAAGGGTCATGATCCAAATTATTTTTCCTCTCCATACACCAAAACATAGAAAAGCAGGAGGATGGTTGACACTTGGTTTTGGAGAAGGAGATGGAAGTCTTTGATCCTTGCTGTCAGTAGACATCCAGGACACAGGAATTCACTAGCTTGGGAGAGAGGGTAGAATCTGCTTACCTTCCTTCTTCCTCTTTCTACCCACTCAAGACCTGGAAGCAAGACGCAATCTACTAGATCTGTCTTTTACAGTGATGTGCAACTTCCAGTTCCACAAATTTTGAAGCTTCCTCCCTATCTTCCATGATTTGAATGGTAAAAGCTTCCCAAACTACTGAGATTTGGCTGGAGGAACATTTCTCTCCTTTGCTGAGGTCCTGAGAGCTGTGAACATGTAAGCAGGAGTCTCTAATACCTCCTTCAGCAGGGATCTTGCTGAATGTCCTCAAGTGAAGGGAGAATCTTTTTGACAGTGCAGATGAAAAGAAAAAGAAATTCTCACTGCCTGTCTTCTCGATAGAGCCAAAGGAGAGAAATTTAAGTCTATACATGTGTTTATATATATATATGTCTGTGTGCATATATAATAGCAACTGGTTTTCCTGGCACGTGAGGTGTTTGCTTTAACACAAAAAATAAAAATTAGGCATCAGTTATCAGACAGACTTTTGAAGTGTAAGTTTGAGGTAACAAGATGGGGTTGCTTCAGTAAGATAGCTGTATCATAGTCTAAGAAGTGACTAGCTCACCTATTCTAAGTAGAAGTAATTGACCATATCTCTTGGGCAGATGGGACAGTGACTAATGAACAGGACTCTGATTTGGCAACTTCATGGAAGAAGGTATGACTAAATTGTAAACAGTGCTCTGCAGGAAGAGTTATATGTGTAAATGTCAACTGGATATCTTTTAGGACTGGAAATTATTCAAGAAAAAGGTTTATAAATCAGGACAGGAAACCTTTTTTTGGCTGTTAGCAGTGTACAGACATCTTCATGTGGCTGAGATCCAGGGGAACGCTGGGGAGCCAGGGAAATGGCAACAGCCTCGGGGATTTTCCTTTGATTCACAGAGATACGCTGACATCAGTTGTGACTCATCATCTTTCTGGATGTTTTTCTGCTGTATTGGGAGACTTAATTAGCCACAAGGTCTAATGCCAGGGCCACTACACTTGTAATTTTGTAACATAGCCCCTGTAACAACTTCTTGTAAGCTCCACAAAGGCAAAAAGTCATTCACTTAATCTTGAAGGAGCAGGGAGATAACATTAGACTGAAACATACACAGTCAAATTCTTAAGTGAACCTGGGGTGGGGGAAATTAGCGAGTATCTCATTCTTTTCAATCCACATAGTAGTTCTATGTAGGTTTTCACCGTGGGATCCAGGAAGGACCTGAGGACAAGTTGTATGCTTTCACTTCTTTGCAAGTATCTGTTCATCTATTTACCAGGACAACAGAAAATCTCTCAAGGATACTGAAATGAAACATGTTAAGCCTTCAAGGTGGGACTGGGGATGATAAAAGCAATTGAGTCAGTACTCTCCTGGTTGGAAACAGAAACAGGATCTCAAAGCTGTTCTGCATTCTGAGAGAATACTACTGGAAAATAAATACACAATGTTATGACATAGCATGAGCAAAAATAAAGGTGCCCTTGTGGGTTTTTCGGCACATGTGAAAGTCTCAGGGGAGGAATTCCACCACAGCTTGTTGGGGATGGCTCTGGTCTCCAGGCTGTCGATGCTGCTTCACTCTAGTTGGATGCTCTACAGAGCGGGGAGAGCTACGCAGACTGTCACACTGCTGTTGTGACCGCAAGGGCAGTATGACAATATAAATCATTCTTAATGAGTTCTGTTTTGCAAGCAGAGCAGTTCTGGACAAGACTATACTGTACTTGCCTGAGTCTGTCCAGGTTACCTGAGAATGTCTGTTCGTTCACCAGTGTTATTAGATCACATCCTGTCAAGAGGCAAGACTAAAACTGGGCCTTACTATTGCTAAGGACTTAAGTTGAAGAAGTGAAGGGAATATCTGGTAAGCTATTGTTCAAATGGACTAACTGCTTGCGTTCAAGTTGCATGTGTGCTGTGAGGCATATAGCAGCTGCATGATGGTCATGATGTAATAATGAACTAAACTAGCAAAAAGTAAGGTCTGGTTCTCTCACCTAGTATTAGATCTCAAAGAAGACATGATTGAAGGTTGGTAGTAAGGTATAATCACGTGCACACCTTAAAAGATTAGCAAAGTGAATATAAATGGCTTTATTAGTATATTAAATAGTCTCTAAGTATTAGCTAGGCAAAGGACTCATGTAGACTGCTGAAGATCTTGCAAAATTTTATGTTGCTCTAATAGTAATGCATAGTACAGCATTTAGGCTTAATGGGCAATGCTAGTTCATGCTTGAATGTTTGGGTAAACTGAGAGACTTACAAAGTGCTTAGTGTTTACCACATAACTAGATAAGTATCAGCTTTGAAATTATGTGCATATTTCCTGTTGTGGGTATGAGTTGGAAGTCGTGTAAGCCATCAGAGAGCCTACACTTCAATTATTGATCTCTTTAGGTTTTTATGTGTTGCAAAGCGGAGTCTGTTCTGCTTAACGTTCTTATTTTGCTTGTTATTTTTAGAGGGGAGTGGCGCATTTCTATTGCAGAGTTAGCTGTTTTTATTTGGAGTGAGCTTCATAACTTAGCAACCATAAGTTACGGTAATCTATATAATCACATGACCAGGGCAGTGTCCATCACGCACTGAAATGCTGGTACCCTACATTAGAAACTGGTGTATATAGGTAGCGTGTATCTTTGAGGCTGGCTGTGCATCACTTCACATAGCCAGTTATATGCAGGTCCTCCTCCTTCCTTCGTTTCCCATCCCCTAATGGGCCTGCTGTAATCATGGCGTGTTCTTGTCAGGTACCTGTCAGATGCCATAAGATAAGGTGTGTATCTTGCCTTCAAGACTTCAGAAAGCAAGATGCAGAACAACGTTAGAGTTCGATGGGTTTTTGCAAGCAGGGTTGGGAAGCCTTTTATAGATAGTAGTTTTATGCTGTTTGCTATGTTGAGGAATGAATAATGGGGTAAAATATTACTCATTTCTCTTCAAACTCTAGAGATCCAGAAGCTTGATCTGTTTTCTTAGTCTGTACAAGAGTTTTTCATTAACATCCACCTTCACTAACTTCCATAGACTGCGGCTGACTGCTTTGAACTGAAGCTCTGGAGAAGCCATTAATAAATAGTAAACTAGCTTGTCTAATCCAAGGTTCTGTTTATTATATGTGAGTTGTTTAATTATGCTTAAGGTAATAAATTGCTATCTAATAGCCCTTAAGCAAGGGAGTTCAAATGTGTTGTATATGAAAGAATACCATTTCTATCTAAGTAAAGCCTTCTACCTTTTAAGGATGTTATCTGTGAAAATTCTCTGTACAACATGTGCCAAAGTACCTCTGACTTGATTCAGAGCTGTTTGAAAGGCTTTGTCCATATAAGCCTTTCACTTTTCTTTCGTCTTCTCTTTTAAATGCTGAACTTTGAACAGAACTTGGTGCAATTACACTGTATATATGGCTGTATGCATTTTTTTTTTCCTTTCTAGGAAATACTTGTTTCCACTTGATAGCAACCCTGTGATAAACAAATGTCACGCATACAATTAAATGCATATGAAGAAAATAGTATAGTGTGTAATTGTGAGTGTGTAAAGAGAACCTGAAAAACTAAAAGCCCCAGTGCATGGCTTCTGGGGGGGATCATGTTGATGCATGTAAGTTAATTCATGGGTTGCTACCCATAAAAAATCTGGTAGGTGGGTGATAACGGACATGTATGTGCATGATCAGTACTGAGATGTAACTGAAGGAATGATACAGTATCACATTCAAAATGCATTAGTGTAGCTGACTGATATCTATCTGATCACAATGTCTGTGAACAAAGAAGGTAAGTAATACAACAGGAGAAATAAAGAATATCCTCAAGAGGTGTTCAACATATTGCAGGAAAACTTGTATATTCCCTAATCAAAGCACTGAAACCAAGGTTTTGGGTTCCCAGTGATGTTATTACTAGGCACGCAGCTGGTGTGAGGTGTAGTTTTTCAGCCAAGACTGTAACTTTGTTGCTGTTTCTGTTAAATTTCAGAAAAATATGCCGCAACTGCAAATGTGGCCAGGAAGAGCATGACGTCCTCACAAGCAATGAGGAGGACAGGAAAGTGGGGAAACTCTTTGAAGACACAAAATACACAACCCTTATTGCAAAGCTGAAGAATGATGGCATTCCCATGTATAAACGCAATGTAATGATACTGACTAATCCAGTCCCAGCCAAGAAGAACATATCCATCAATACTGTGACTTACGAGTGGGCTCCTCCTGTTCAGAATCAGACACTTGTAAGTCCAACTCACTTTTACTTCATGTTCAAGGCAGGAGTTGATGGGAGATAGACAAGTGAAGCTTACCCGAAGGATGAATTTGCCTCTTGTAGTCATTCTGTGTGTACCTCTTTTCTTCCTCAAAACTGACAGTATGGTGTCTCTTAAATGAGTCTTGCCTGTGACATCTTGCAGATATGGATGCTTGTCTATGGAATTTCTTGAGAACTGGGGAGATGAGGTGGTTTTTAACAGAGAGGATTAAAAGGATTAAGCATTATCTGCCAAGTCCCTGGAGTCCAGTTTCTCTAACCTGCCTTTTTTAGTGCACTTGGAAAATTTGCATGGAGTGTGGGCTTAAAAGGAAAAAAAAAAAAACAAAACCACCACCCAAAAACAAACCCCAACCCCACAACAATTTCTCATTGTTTAAAGTTAAGGGGAACACTCAGTCTTGCATATAGCTTTTACTGTTTATGGTAAGAACAAGGTCAGTGTTGACATCTAAAAGAGCAACTCTCTTCCAGTATGTTTTCAGCTGAAGTAGATGAGATGATAGATAGCCTTCTGAGGGTTTTGCTTCACTTTTCAAACTTTGATTGCTAATTTACTGTACTGTAGTGTTGTGTGATCTGTGCTGGAATTACATTCTCTGACCTACTTCTCAAAATATCCTTTTTCAGTGAATTAATCAAACCTTGCGCATCTAAATTGACTTGTTACTTAACATTCAGTTACCACTTTGATTTTTAGGCTTGTCCTTGCTTTATTAAACTAGAGAATTTTTCTTTATTTAGCTAGAATTATTTTTGCAATGGGCTGTGTGCCTCAGGCAAACAATTTCAGCTTCTACTTTTTAAAGCTATACTGATGATCAGGAGTTCTATATAGCTTTGAAGAGACAAGGTGCTGTGTAAATGTTAATTATTGTTTACTCTGAGAAGTAATAAATCTGTTCCATAAAAGGCTTAAAAGGAAGCCTGTCTCTTACTCTGGGAAGAAGCCAATTAATGCATCTGCTGTATTTTATCTCTATCTACTGTGTTTTGGGAACTTAACGTTTATGGAAAGAACCTTGTTTTTGACAAATCTGACTGTCGCTAACAACAGTAGAGATGATTATAGTCGCGTGTTTGCTTAAAAGGATGGGTCTATAGTTGAAGTGGCATCTGATATCTAATTCCTCCTGGTTCAGGCTAGACAGTATATGCAGATGCTACCAAAGGAGAAGCAGCCTGTTGCTGGCTCGGAAGGCGCGCAGTACAGGAAGAAGCAGTTGGCTAAGCAGCTGCCCGCTCACGATCAGGATCCTTCGAAATGCCACGAGCTCTCCCCCAATGAAGTTAAGCAGATGGAACAATTTGTGAAGAAGTACAAAAACGAGGCACTTGGTGTAGGGGATGTCAAGCTCCCTGGTGAGGTGGAAACGAGAGCTACTGAGAAGAATAATGTGAACAATGGTGACAGAGGCACCTCAGCTGCTGTAGGAGCAATGGATGACAAGTCCCCAGATCAGAAGGCATCTCAGTATGTAAGTATAAGAAAGATAAAACAAGAAGGTATATTACCATCCGAGTGCTCTCATTGGTTGTTTTAATGCAATTAACTTGTTTGTTAACTTGGAATAGTGAAAATCTGGGGTGGGGGGAGAGAGAAGGGGAACTGGAAAACATTGTGAATGTCTGGACAGAACCCTGGTTTCTGACTGTATTTAGTGCATTGCAGCAAACAACTTCCCAGGTGACCTTTTCATCCGCGTTGCAAAAACGTGTTAGCTTGGACATATAGCAAGGTGGCTTTTACAGAATAATAATCAAGAAACTTGTATAGTCTTACGGACTGATTGTTGCACTTTTCTCCTCTTGAAGAGTTTAATTTTGGAAGCCAGTTTTCTCCACTTTCTTGGAAGAGCACCAAACTTACCCACTTGACCAACTGTGTTTAAAATTAAATGAAACTGAAAAATAATAAAGTAACGCCTCTCCCTCCCACTTCCAACAAGCCAAGCCACGTAACGGCTGTTTTGAGTAGCCTTCTTTTCATATTCAGATCTTTTTTTTTTTTTTTCCTTCGGTCAATTTTTTTTTCTTTGGCATCTGATTTCTGTCTTGTAATAGCTCAACAAAAAATAAGGTATGTAAAATTACCCAATTTTCATTGATATTTCTAAAACTATAGCCTGAATAAGGTATTTCTGACATAACTTACTATCTTCTGCTGTGCATGTCTCAGCTACCAACTATGAATACAAAATAGGGGTGGGATTACTGAAGTAACATTAAATTAGTTTAGTGAAGGTAGACCTTTGCTTCAGAGTGTCAAAAGATCCTGTAACTTGATTTCCAGAAATGTTGCTATTGTATGTCTGAATTGCAAAAACTATTTGTCTCCAGGTTACCTACAGAAAACAAATATATGAATTCTAGATGGAGATAAATGTTGTAGAATTGTTGGTTGTAGAATATGGCTTTCAGTATTATTGGGGGGTGTTGCGTGCTGCTTTCGGTGTGTTTTCGTTGTTTGTTTAAACTGGCACAGTATATTGCTTCTTGTGTAATTGATATGGAATATAAAATTAACACTGAAGTTTTAGCTTTGAACATGCTCACTTACCTTCATCAGTCATATTTTGTGCCATTTGGTTACCTGTAGCTATTTTCCAAAATTAATTATTCAGTTATTTTTGCCATTATCTTGTCGTGGAGATTCTAAGATACTTAAAAGGTATTTTATCGTGGCTTGATGAGGTTGCTGTCATTTTGTATAACCCAGCAAGGAAAGCCGGGTTTACTTTAGCTTCACCACAGCAATTCTTCACTTGCCTCCTTGAGAAAAACCTACAGAAATACATACCTTGCATTGTACCCTGCTGGCCAACTGGCTTGGGCTACGTTAAGTCAAGGGCAGGAGGCACTCTCTCCTCTTGAGTAACTGTATCCAAAGGTGCTTCGTTTCTACATTACACCTATTTATCACTTCCAAAGTTCTCTTTACTCAAGCACCTGAGTATACCTCCTACTGTTTAGGCCAGGCATATCTCATCACTGTGTGCAGTGATTTAGAAAGAGGCTTAGAAGTGTTTAATAATGTAAGTTAACATTTGAGTTGCTTATCTGTTTGGTACTGAGTTTACCCTGGGCTAAATAATCTGGATTTAGATATATTATTGTTAATTGGGTTTTTTTTTTTGTTCTGATTTCTGCAATGTGACTTAGTCTCAGCTATACTCTGTAGCATTATTTCAAATTGTTTTTTTCAGCAGTTCAAAATAAACCAGTACAGAGAAGAGCTTTTAAATACCTTGCAGAAGAATTGCCATGCTTGTCTGTGCTTTTTTCTATCCACTAGTGCTGCATCTTTGTTCTCCAAATTTTCTTGTATGTTGTCTTTCAAACTGAATCTGAAAGCACGTATTCCTGTAGCTGTGGTAAATAGCTCTGAAATAGATCTCTTGAAAAAATAATTTTTATTGTAGGAATAGATTGCAATTCTTTTAAACATTTCTTTTTTAAAAAAAACCCAACAAACCACAAACAATCGGGTCTCCACTATTAATGTAAATATACCAGTAGTAATTGCCTCCCTGTTTAAAAAAAAAAATACTTTACCATGATTAAAAGCTGAATAACAGAAAAATGGATATTCGGCATATTTTCATCTTGTAAAGAATCAAATATCTTTATGCACTTTTTAACCACCTAGGCTGGGGATGTTGCAATTGGTAGTAAATTGTCTTGCCCTACTAAACCTTCCAATTGACTCGTCTTGGAGTATGAAGTCTAAAGTAGAAAGAGGAGTCAAAAAACGTTATATACATACATCTTTACACTTCCCTTTTCATTAGTTCCCCTTTCATTCTGTTTCGAGCTGCTCTTCCTCCCCTTTGGATGTCTTTCTGTGTTATTTATGTCTAAAACAAGCACAGGGATCTGATCAATGTGCCTTACAGCCAAGACATTTAATAAATAATAAATAAATAAATAAAAACAAAAACAAACCAAAGCCAAAAGTCAAACAACAAAAACCAGATATATACACACACACAATTGAAAACTGAGGCCATTTGTGGCTGGGCTTGTAGTGATGTGAATCATAGGGAAGACTTTCCCAGGATGTTCAGTCTAGTCCACAGACCTACTGGAGTGCAGGAAATGCCAAACCGGTGATTAAACTGTAGATTAAAATTTTTGTTTCAGTAACATAAACCACCTGTGTTTTTTGACTTGATGACAAAACCCTCTCTGCAAGCAGGTATAGGACAGAAGACTGACTATAAGCATTTTGGAACTATTTGTAGAGTAGTTGCATTCATAAACTTCGTAGTCCCTTTTCCATAATCACTCTCCCCATCCGAAGATCATTAAACACAGACTGTTGAGCAACAGCCATGAGGGATTAGCATCCCTAGAACACAGCTTTGAACGGAATGAGTTGGAAATATTCACTTTTTTTTTTTCCCTCACCAGTGATGCAGCTATTGCTTGATCTTCTCACGATCTATATAATACAGCCATTTTCTTGTCATGTGTTCTCGTCTTAGTCTAGTCAGTTAGCTTTGGAGGCTACTTATTATTCTGTCCTTATTCTTGAATATGCATAGAACATAACATGAATTTTAGTTGCGTGGGTTTTCTTAAGAACTGGACTGTAGTTGCAGGAATTTGAATATGGCAAAATACAGTAATCCATTTAAGTAGCACTAGTGCTATGTCAATAGAATGTACATCATCTTGAATTGCTTAGTTAAACCTGTGCTGTGGCATCATGTCACACTACTATCTGATCATGGGAGTAAACATTCTTTAATTTCAGTCTGGGAAGGTGGAATTTATCAAATACATCAGTAATATGTAATTGCTATAGATGTACCTCTTCAAAGACTTATTTAACTTGGCAATAACTTCTTTCCAGTCCTGCTATCGCTGCAAACTGAACATGAAAGAAGGTGACCCAGCTGTCTACGCAGAACGTGCTGGATATGACAAATTGTGGCACCCAGCTTGTTTTGTCTGTTGCACCTGCAGTGAACTTCTAGTAGACATGATCTATTTCTGGAAGAATGGTAACCTGTACTGTGGAAGACATTATTGTGACAGCGAAAAACCCCGCTGTGCTGGATGTGATGAGGTAAGAAATATCCTAGTCCTTTGTTTTAGCACACAAGTTTGCTCCTGTGAGAAGTGAATATAATTTCTAGTGAAACATTTCAGCGCAGGGCCACAATGTGCCTTCATCAGTTTTAACTGATCATAGTTGCAAGGAACAGAAATTGGTACAGACACTCCACATTCTGGAAGATCCATAGTTTGCTTTGGATTTGGTGGGGATTTTGTGTGGTCTACGTGGACATAGGATGTAATACATGAGTTGAAATTCTACGAAAGTCCCAATTATGCAGTTGTTTCCTCAGGAAGGGCACTAGGGGGAGCGCCTGGCTAAATTACACCTTGTGCATCGTAGAGAGAACAGCCTGCCTGGTGGCTTTGGCATCTATTGTCTCTTAATAAACAAAATGGAGCCTTTTGGGAAAATGTCTAACAAGTGAATGCATTCAGTTTTATTGTTGAAATAATTTGAAACAGTGGAATCACCAGGAGTTTCTTGGAAATTGCAAAACATCCTGAGGATAGCTTTATCAAAGGAGATGCTATTCAAATGCATATATTAATATTTGTTTGTATCTTCTTCATAGCTAATATTCAGCAATGAATATACTCAAGCGGAAGGCCAAAACTGGCATCTGAAACACTTCTGCTGTTTTGACTGTGATTGCGTTTTGGCTGGCGAAATCTATGTAATGGTGAATGACAAGCCAGTCTGCAAACCCTGCTACGTGAAGAACCATGCTGCGGTAAGATCCATACAGATATGTCGGTGCTGTGCAGGGAGGGAACGTACGTCTGTGGAGCCTGAAACTCTTACTTTCTCCCAGCGTGGGAGCATCTGAAGAGTAGAAATTGAACGCAAGTTCAGGATCAAGTCAATCATCTTTCCCCTTTGAAAACAAAAGCAGACAAGTATTTTGTCAATTCATAAACTGGAACAAAAGCCACGGGTGGAGGGGGGAGGCAATTCTGAAAATAACTTTAACTTGGCCAGTGCTGAAGCAAGATTTTTGTAACAGGAGGAGTAAAGTAGGTGAAGATGAACAACACTGCGAAATGTTTAGTTCGTGTCAGTCCTAGTTCATTGTGACCAGTGGGATTCAACTTCAGCTGGTCTGCTGAAAGCCTGTAGTGGCAACCGCAATCTGGGTACTTTGTTTCTTTGTATGTCTGACCACGTGAGTTATAAAGGGGAGTGACTGACTGGATAAAGCTAGGAGTTTGGGAAAGAGCGGCAGTTCTTGATTCCTAGTTATGCTAGACACTCTAATCTGTGATGATGGTCCATTCATATCTACCTGTTAACTAGCTATTAGTTGAGAGTTCAGTCTAATGTGCGTCTAGACTGTTTATAGAGTTAATGGAGGGGGAAAAACTATCATCTCTAGCTGGCAGTTAATAATCTTCTGAGGTAGGTGTGAGGATTTATCTTTCCCAGAGGCTTTTTTTCTTCTTAAAAAATAAACTTATGTGAGATCTAAATGATACTTTTTGACAACCAGATTTTAAGTTGAATTGCATCCAAGACTTCCCAGTAACCTTTAATTCTTTAGCATTGCTTTACAGCTGCCAATGCACAGGAAGTTTTGTAAGTAATCTTTTCAAATATATGGGTTAATGTATGAAAATCTGTGCTGTTTGGCATGGCAAGTTTTTATCATTATATAGGCATTAGGAAATCCTAACGTCATAATTGTCTAAGTGTAATCCCAGCAGCAACTAACTTCTTGTGTGCATTTTATTATTTTATTTTGTGTCCTCAGCTGCATTTTGATCAGAAACTCTGTTTTAAAATTAAAGGAAAATAAGAAGCTGGAGACTTATTTCAAATACTTCTTTTAACATCTGTCTTTCCTCCAAAAACATTGAGGAATTTCAGCTTTTATTGTCCTTGTAGAGAGGGTGTGTATGCTTCATTTAAGTGTCTCTTTGTTTCTGAACAGATCTGCCAAGGCTGTCATAATGCTATAGATCCAGAAGTTCAGCGTGTGACATACAACAGCTTCAACTAAAAAAAGGAATGCTTCTTGTGTTCCTGTTGCAGCAAGTGTCTAATTGGCCAGAAGTTCATGCCGGTGGAAGGGATGGTCTTTTGCTCAGTGGAATGTAAGAAAAAGATGATGTCTTAAGAGAAGACGTGCACAGAACCAAGCATTGCTGCGTTCCAAAGGCTCTTGCATTTCTACTGTAAAATCTAGAGTATCGGGGCATTTAAAGTTATTGAAAGTATTAAATAGCATTTTCCCAAAGATTTTTTTGAATTACTAAAACTTGATATGTAATCTTCCTTTCTTAGCCGTAATAATACTTTCTTTTTTTGGAGTATTGTTCCTGAGTCTTATGTCAAATGACTTCATACCCCGGAAATGTAAGAAAATGTGTTATGAACTACACACACTTTAAGGGAGCTCTTCACTGTGAAGGATCTTCTTGCTGTATCTTGTCTAATGGAAAAAGAAAATGTGAAAATGCTCCAATTTTTCGTGTTTTTTTTTTATGGTAAATGTAACTCTTCCACTTTTGGTTTCACTAATTTATCATTTTTATAGTTTCCCTGCTTTCATCAAGCACTTTAGACAAAATGATCAGCTTTACCACCGTGTACGGTTTTGTTCACTTGACCTCAAGTATGCAGGGAGAATGAAGCTTAAAAAAAAAAAGTTGCCTGTAATCATTTGCTTGTTGTTGACACATGGGCATGTGTTCTTGAGGGATAGTGACTACTCTCACATCTAGTTTGGAAAGTAACTCTGCACCAGTAGAAAACTGTATTGGCTCATGTTTCTCTTAGAACTGTTCATGCTTGGAAAAGTTTTCATTTTATAAATATTGAAATTACTTTACAGATATTTTTCTTTTTTGGGGCAGGAGGTGCAGAGAAAATATGAGGAGGTCTTGCGTAGATTAAAGATGTAAAAATATCCACCAATGTTAGTGGGTGTCACTTGTATCCTTTCAGAACTGGCTTCTGTTGTTTCATGAATGTTCTTTTTATAAATTGTGCCTTCTATCAGAGGGACATGGCACACAATACTGTATGCATTTCCAAGAATGTAATTCTGCTGAAGGATCATACTTAGACTTTTGATTTGTTAGTTCTTAACCAAAGCATAAAGAAGTCTTTCCCAGAAGATTTCCAGTATTTGAGTGAAAAAAATCACAGCTGTATGTTAGCTTTGCTTACTAGGTAAACCAAATGTGTGGTTCTCTTTCTTTTTCTTAAGAATTACAGATCTACAGTGAAACTTGTTAGCTATCTTTGTGCTAGTAAATGGAGAGTCTTTGGCCTAAAAATAAAAAATAAAAAAAATCTATGCAAGTCTTATGTTCAGCTCTTTTTAAGTTTGATGGTGGCTGTATTGTAACACTTAGAAATAAAAATTAGTGTTGTTCACTTGAGTTGTCTACTAATTCTGTTCTTGTTGAATCCCCTTTAGGGGAGTGAAAGAAGGGGAAATGTTTCCATACTTCTCTAGCTTTGACACTATTTAAAAAGAAAAACTTAAGGCCTGTATTACTGTAAAGTGCTTACTGTCTTGTGTAATATTGTTGATATGCTTATAGGTGCAAGGCAATGGGTCTTGTTTTGGTGTTGTGTATTTGTTGAAACTTAGTGTGAATTTACTTTTTGTTTGTGTAAACTATGGCCTTAATTATACTAAGACAGCATGAAAAGTTTTGAATTCACACAGGTGAGCTAATGTGCTGAGAAAATAGTGCATTGTGATACTTTGCGTACTGCAAAAATTAGACCCTGCTGTGAGATACATACTTTGTATGTTGTCTAAATTGAGGTATAAACTTTAGGTCCATGTTCTGGAAGCCTGTACAGCTTTTTAAAAAAAAAAAAAAAGTGTATGCCTTCCAGCTTATGCCAATGGGGCTGTGTTCTTGCCAGATTCTCAGTTTTAAAAGAGGGAAAACCAGGATACCTCAGTAAGAGAAGGTATTTCCATGTTTCCATTTAAGTGCTCCTTAATCTGTAGCAGCTGTGAGAATGCTGTGAGAATGTCATTGGGGGGGTAGGATAGGGGTTATTTGGGGTTATTTAATTATTATCTCTATGGGTTTATTTAATTACTGTCTACAAGGCTGGGTTTTACTTGTCTTGAGTGCATCTGTCCTCACCCACTTAGTAACATCTATTCTAGAAGATACAGCTGATCTTTATAAAGGACTCTCTCTGAAATGCTGCTGTGTAACTTTCCTGCCCCTCCCTTGTAACAACTCTATTTCTCCTTATTGTGATTGCTTGCACTGATGGCAGTCTTACTTTTCACTGTAAATCTCATTCTGTGCAGTTCTGTTTATCAAACTTTATTATTGTGTAACCTTCATTTAAAAGGATGAGCAGGCACTACCTTGGGACTTACTCATTCCATCAAGACAGAGTTGCTAAGGCAGTTCATGTCAAACCAGACATCTCAATAGTCCGTCATCCTCTGGGCCTGGCTTTTTTCCATGCCTCTTCTGAACCTGCTGGCTTGCTGTCTTTCACTAGCTCTCTTCCTGAGAAGCTTAATCTTCCCTTGCCTGCTTGATCCCTTCTGGCTCTCTTCCCTGGAACCTGATGCATCTAGGTGCTTCTGCTGGGGTAGCCAAAGTTTAATCTATGTCCATGCAGTAATTGGGAAGGATCATGTCATAGGAAGGTCAAGTGTAATGTGCAGATGATACAGAGATGAGACAAAGATACTGCTGTGTGACTGCACAATAGATCAGAAGATGATTAGGAGCACTAAACAGCTCTTGTAATGAGCTAGGAAGGAATTCATGTTCCTGAAGATAATGCTTTTGGTGTTAGCTGAAAGATACATCAACATACTGGAGCTTGAAAACAAGCATTAAGGAGATCTCCTTCTCTCACTGCCATAATAAAAATTTTGGCAGTTAAGTGATGTTTGGGGGTTTTTCCTCTTGTATTTTTTGGCTGTTTTATCATAGAGGTCCCTTTGGATCTATTTATCTTAGTAAGCTAAGAATAGAAGCTGGAAGGCTTTGCATACTTCAGTAATAAAAGTATGTACTTTGCAGATGAAATTCTGAACTCAAAGTATGAAAGTTGAAGTTCTACCCTTAGGAAAAAAGCTTTGGTAAGAAAGGCCTTATAAGCACTTGTTACACAACAACATACTCTTCAGAAATAGTTAATTGGCTACAAGAAACAGCCTGAAGAGGCACTTAGCCAGCTCTATTTATCATGTCACTGCAGAGTGACGTATTTGATTTTTTAAATTTTTCACATATTGAGCACCAAATGAAGACAAAGATTCACAGCAGAAGACAAGTTTGGCCTTGTCACTATCAGCATTTGTGAGAAGGAAAAGCCCAAATGCACCTTCAGGATGTAAATTTCTGCCTGTAAGCTCTAGGTTCTGTTGCATTTTATGTGGCCACTGTGACAGTATAGACTGCTGTGACCCAAAGCTTGAGTTTTTGGAGTAGAGTTGTGTTTTTAGCAACTGGCTGTGAAGAACAAATAGGGTTATACAGTAGAACAATGTACCAATAGGGATTAAATTAAAGTAGGGTGTAGCTTAAACCACGGCAGGAGAGGGCACCAAAGAGACCATCCTGTCGTTGTCCTAATGACACCTGGGAACGTGATTGTTCTCTTCCATGTGGCAGTGGCAGAAGCCTTTTCAAACAACCCCTGAAATTACCAGTTTTTTGTCCATTTTTTCCCTGAAATTTTGAAATTTACCACCAATAGGGATTAAATTAAAGTGGGGTGTAGCTTATTTTTTCCCTGAAATTTTGAAATTTACCCAGTGCCCAAAAATTACAGGCAAGGTGCAGTGACTATTGATGGAGACTATTGCAAAGTCTTGCTTCACTCAACCAACCTGTTTGTAACCTTGGCTGGAGCATCGAGGTATTTATATACCTGTTGGTTGGCCGCAGAGCCCAGGAGCCTTCGCCAGCACCAGAAGGCCCACTGGACAAGCACTGCAACCCAGTCTCCTCTGTGCCCCGAGAGCAAAGGAGGTCTGTGGCACTCTGAGCACAGGTAACTCCCCATGCTTTTCCAGAGATAAGGATGTTTATGCACATGATGCTGCCTTTTAGCACACTTAAATTTTAATCTTTTTTTTAACCACTTAATACACTAAAATTTACTTATGTATGTCATTCTAAATATTAGTGCATTAATTGGAGTCTTTACAGTCTGGATCAAGAAAAAGTAGTAATGCCATTGTAGCTCTTACGGTAAGAAGAACAAGGTTTTGGGTTTATGATTGGGGTATTTTTATGACTTACTCCTACAAAAATACATTTTATGTGAAGTCCAGGCAAACCATTTCCTTTCTCGGGGAAGAGGTAAAGTCAAAGGAGAGTCGGTACTATACACGATGGGGGACACTCTAGCATACAGACACAGTTAGCTTTGGATTTCATGTGGCCTCTACTGCTATTATACAGTCAGAAGACAATATTGCCTTTTATTTAAGGAAGAGTTATCCTGCCAGCCTGTAAAGTCCAGGCTGGCAAAGGCTTTGCAAAAACTTTAAAAGACTGAAGTTAAATAAATGCTTCTTTGAATTAGTAACAGATATTTATTCGTGGTAGCACTAACCTGTAATTTTTATTGAGATTACAATTGCATCTCAAACTTATTATGGTTATACATATGCTGAAAAGAAAAATATACTTTAAGCACCTTTTTATATGTATGTTTTATCACTGGAAATCTAACATCTGTGTCTCTTAAAATACATCCTAATGAACAACCAACACAGTAACTTCCCCTTTTCCTGCAGAATCCTAGGTTTTGAGTGTTACAGAACATGGTTGATGGTGTGAAGCAAAATTATCTGGCTTTGCTGAAGTAATGACCATTAGCACAAAATTATTTACATTCAAGACTAACTTGAGGTGCTTGGAAGCTCTAGGCCACCCCTTCCCAGAACAGTGCATGAGGTAGGGGTGACAGGATGGTAATACTTGGTTCAGTAACCTCTGCCAAGTTCAGTGGGGGTTTGGGATGCTAGAGCTAGCAATGAGTGGCAAACAGGAGGTTGGCAGTCCAGGAAAGACTCAACAATTCAACTAACAGCAGGCTCTCCAGGGGAGTAGGGGCACAACGGCTGCCCTGTGAGAACAGGATGAAGAGAGCTAGTATAAGGAT